TTATCTATTCGGTCGGTTTGACGGACCGACAACATTGGGACATTTTCTACGCATATGACCTATTTCTCTGCAAATCCCACACCGTCTCTTCTCTTTTTCTACGTCGTCCATCTCAGTTCGGATTCTACTACTTTTTGTACGCCCCTTTTTATTTCTTCTCATTGAATCGTCGTGGCAGAGAGTGAAACCTTCATATTTTGGCCAATTCTCCTCGTGCGGTAGTCCCAGGAAGCTTTCCTTGTAGACCTTGAATACGTTAAGTACTGTGAAGACCTCTGGAATGTGAATTGCATAGTCTTTTTGTATGCTAGAACATGCCGCTATCACGTGGGAGCAAGGCAAGTGGAACGTTTGAAATTTTCCACAGTCACACCTACGATTCCTCAAGTCAACGCTGAAAGTACCCTTTGGACGACCATCGTTGTAATTAATCTTTTCTTGCACCATGAAACAGAATCTTTCCCGATCAAATTGCATGACATTGTGTGTGTTAGCCTTGGCTACCTCCTCGGCCATTCCCTTGTTACAACCATCTGTGAAAACTTTGCCTGAAGATAGCATTTTTGTCCATTTGTGTCCTCGTTTACCAAATAGTGAACCCATTCGATAATATGTAGACTGGACTAATGCAGTGATGGGAAGGTTTCTTATGGCCTTTAATATAGAGTTTATTGCTTCTGCTAAGTTAGATGTCATATGTCCCCAACATTGTCCTCCGTCAAATTCTCTAGCCCACTTCTCCCTAGGAATATTGTCTATCCAATTTAAAGCCTCAGCGTTGGATCTTCTGATTTCTCCGCGATAATAATGAAATGAGGCCTCCGTCAATGCGTAACCTGTATCCGTCAATGCGTTAGAAAAAATGAAAAAAAGTGCTTATATAATTTAGATAAGCGAAATTTTTTCCTTACCCATGTTAACAACTAATTTTCGTAGAATCTTGTCCTTAATCTCGCGCATGAAGTTCTGAGCAATGTGTCTTATGCAGTAGACATGCGAAGATGGAGGATTTTGCCAACCGTTTTCTGGATTGTTGTATGCACTTTTTATCGATTCATGCCTATCAGATATTAGACATAAATTCGGCTGTGGTGTCACGTGTAATCTTAGGTTCCTCAGAAAAAAACTCCAGGCTTCCTTTGTTTCTCCTTCGACCAAAGCGAATGCCACTGGGAAAATATTTGCGTTGCCATCTTGTGCCACCGCCGTCAATAGAGTTCCTCTGTACTTGCCATACAACCAAGTTCCGTCTACCTGCACAATGGGCTTATAGTAGGCGAAACCATTTATACACGGACGAAATGCCCAAAACAGACGAAGGAATGTTCTTTTTCCGGAGATCTGGGAACCATCACTTGATATGGCAGGTATGGTTTGCAAATCCATAACGGTTCCGGGAAGAAAGGTTTTCATTACCAGTATCCACTATGGTAGGTCGTTGTAAGATGTTTCCCAATTGCCGTAAAGCGACTCTACCGCCTTGCACTTAGCGATCCACGCCTTCCGGTAAGATATAATGTACCCGTATTTTTCTAGAATATGGGCAATGATCACTTTTACCTTAAGTGAGGCGTCGCTGTTTACAAGTTCTCTGATGCTATGGCTAACCATTTCTGAACTGAGCTTGCTATGGTCTTGTGCCATAGACGTTGTGGTGCATGTGTGAGACCCAGACAACTTACCAATCACCCATTTCGAGTTCCTTTGTCTAAATGAAGCTCTGCACTTGAACTTACATTCTTCTTTCTTACACTTAATGACATATCGTTCATTGTCAGACTTACACACCCAATAGTCCACATAGTGTGTTATGTGCCAATGCTGCAGGGCGAGGATGCAGGCTTCCTTGTTTTCAAACTCCATACCTATATCTATTTCGTCACCTATATGGCTTTGAATAGCATTTCCAAAGACAGAGGTTGTGTCGTCATATTCGGCGCAAATATTTTGCATGTGTGCCGGCGGGTTATACAAACTTACGGGTTGTGCGCGGATCGGTTGCGTAGACGGGACAACTATGTCTTCATCTTCATTGTCTTCGTCATCGCTGTTACCAAAAATATCTTGCATCCTGATTTCCTCAAGAATATCGTTATCACTTGGTTCGCCCACCTCCTCATTGGGTATGAAAGGTAAATTATTTTGCGTTGGTTCGTCGTCGGATGTTTGGCTCATCCCGTACCAGTGTGATTGTGTCTCCTGCGTTGGAAATGTTTCGGGATTTTGTACTAGTCGGACATACACCTCAATTGTAGGTAATTGACCAAACATCATGTGGCACCGAAACATTGCCTTCACATCCTCGTCGGTTTTTATTGGCGTCATAATGTAGAATATCGTACAGTCGTCTTCATTTAGGGTGGGATAGCGATAAATGATTTCCTCAACACAGCGTGCCAATTTGGTTTCCATTCTATCTTTAAAATGAAAAAAATCTGAATTGACATGAATTTTGAAGGCATATGTATCTGTATTGCTGAACGAGAATCCAACAGGAGTGTTTGTTGAAACAACACCGTTAAAATGGCATGTGGTAATTATGTTTCTCTGAGACATTTCGGATTGTAGGATTGAAGTTTTTTGAGAATGCTGAGAAGTTTGATTTTTTTTTGTATTGCAAGATGGAGTGTTAATGAGTTTGAATGTAAGTAGGAATATTTGTATACAAGAAATAACATGCAAAGATACATTCAACGAATATAAGTGTGGAAGATTGGAATAACTAGGTAGATTGAGTTCGTCCAAGACAAATAGGAACATGTGAGGTTGACCATTCGTTCGTCCAATCCATGGGCGAACTTCCTCACGTGCAATGTACTAGTTCGTCCTTCCCATGGGCGAACATGTGAAGGGAATGCTTGCCTCGTCCTTCCCATGGGCGAACATGTGAAGGGGATGCTTGCCTCGTCCTTTCCATGGGCGAACATGTGAAGTCTGCAACAAAAACTAGGGTTTCACGTGAAGGGAATGCATGCGTATTGTGTAAGAAGCCAGTGTCAAGCTAGTGTTGCATGCATGGTAGAAAACCCTAGTGCCATGCAATGGTCTTGTCACATTTTAATTTCCAAAATACTTAAAGTAAATATTAAATTTTCATACAATCTACTATAAATTCGTTTTTACATTCTTTCAAAATTTACACACAGTTTTACATTCTCTCTACTATCTAGCAATTATCACATATATTTCTCTACTATCTTGCAATTTTTACCCGACTAAAATGACATTGTTGTGGATGGGCGAAGACCACCGTGGTACTCAATAAAATATCAATAATAGTGTAAGTTTTATATTGTTTTATATTGTTGTATATTGTTGTTTGTGAATTTATTTTTTCGTCATAAAAATCGTGAGTAATTAATGTTGGTTTAATATTGTTACAGATTAATGCTCCGAGGTTTAGGGTGCATTCACATTCTCCGGTTCAAGCGAATGCAAGAATAATGCCTTATCTTGAAATCGCAGGATTCGCAAACATTTCAAAAATAAACAGCTTGAAAGTTGACTCAAGCTTAGTTCTGGCTCTGTTGGAGAAGTGGAGACCGGAAACGCACACTTTTCACTTGCCAACCGGTGAATGCACCATAACCCTAGAAGATACATGTATGTTACTAGGTCTACGAGTTGATGACAAAGCTATCAACGGTCCCACCGAGGTAACAAATTCTGATTACATGGATTACTTGGGGAAGGAACCAACAGAAATAGATAAAATGAAAGGTTTTGTTAAGATAACTTGGATTGAGAGTGAATATGAAAATTTAAAAAACATAGATAGACCCACACAAGAAGATGTTTTATTAGAAGCTAAACTTTTTATTTTGCTCGTGATCGCAACGGTCTTGTTTCCTGACAAAACTCAAAACCTTTTGCATTCATCTTGGGTCCCTTTCGTGGGGGATCTCATTAAATGTGGAACATATAGTTGGGGTTCTGCATGCCTTGCGAAATTGTACAGAGAAATGTGCAAGGCAGCAGAAAAAGATGTTAGGAGCATGAGTGGTTGTGCTCTCCTGCTAACTTCTTGGGCATTCACACGCATCCCATTGTTCGCGCCTATCAATACTGTGGAACCATCGTTTCCATATGCACAAAGGTATTTCTGTAACACTCATATTTATGTACATAATATATATATATATATATATATATATATATATATATATATATATATATATATATATATATATATATATATATATATATATATATATATATATATATATATATATATATATATATATATATATATATATATATATATATATATATATATATATATATATATATATATATATATATATATATATATATATATATATATATATATATATATATATATATATATATATATTTCTTATTCAACTATGTCTAACAATATTAATGTTTTTTTTTGGATTACACAAGGTGGACACAAAGAGGAATGAATTACCGTGCAACTCCTCGCTTCCATCTCCAAGGATATCGAAACGCGTTGGATCATATGCAAGAAAAAGATGTAAGTTTTAAACCAATTGAAAATAGTGGTCGGTTCTTCAATTTAAAGTTATCTTAATTTTATTTGTTATGTGACAGTTTATATGGAGGCCGTACATTCAGTACCCGGTGCCGCGTCTAGAAGATAGCCAAATCTGGAGTGCGACAACTTACCTTGTCTGTTTCTACATCATTGAGATGCATCAATCAGATAGGGTAACACTCCAGTTTGGATTTGACCAACAGATCCCTCCACTTCCTAGGTGCTTGAAGGAACACCACGCAATTACCATGCGAAAAGCTCAAAAAGTTCATTGGCAACAGTTAAACAAGGACGAGGTGCGAGAATGGAGACACAGAAGAGATGTGATTTTGTAGGGGGCGCTATATTTGGTGAACGCAAACCAAGTCAAGAGTATTTAACTTGGTTCCACGCAATTCCTTATGTTCATGTTGCTCCGGATCAATTTCTAATCGACCCACGGACGCAAGCATCATCATCGACACAACAAACTCCCGCATCAATGCATCAGCATGTCCCACCAACCCAAACCTCTCAATTTGGGGGGTACCCATCCTCTTCAGCTCAACATAACTATAACTTCCCCCAGTTTGCCCAACAATATCATCCCCAACCCTACCTCCGACCACCCAGACAGTTCACCCCATGCACAACCCCCAACTTTCAGCAGAGCAACCCTTATTTCCAATATCCTACAAATCCTACCTTCAACACTACCTTCTCTCAACCCTCCTTCACGCCCGATGACGTATACATCCCAACCATGCAACAACCCCAAGCCGATACCTACCCACAACCACCACAACCATCACATTCATTTCAACATTTTTTACTGACAGAGGAGCAACTGACGCAAATGCCAGATTTTAACATCGAAGATATTCTAAATGATGATGAACCAGGACCCTCTTCAAGGCAGACAATCCCCCCGAGAACACATCATAATGAAGATTTGTCTTCAGACTCCTCTCAATCAGCTGCAAACGAGCGTTTGGGCAGAGGATACCGACAGCGAAGGCCCCCTAGGTGTGGAACTGGAGGTCATCTCCGATGAGATGTGTATTTATTTAATCATTTATATTGTTGTAATTTAATCTTCTAATTTTATTGTTGTAAATTATTTAATCAATTAGTAAAATTGTTTTTAAATTTAATTAATAAAATAGTTTTTAAATTAAATTATTTAAATAGTTTTTATATTAAATTAATAAAATAGTTTTTAAATTAAATTAATAAAATAGTTTTTATATTAAACTATTTAAATAGTTTTTATACTAAATTATTTAAATAGTTTTTATATTAAATTATTTAAAAGTTTTTATATTAAATTATTTAAATATTTTTTATATTAAATTATTTAAATATATTTTAAATAGAATTAACAAAAAATTAAAAAATTAAAAAACAAAAAAAAATACCATCTTCTTCACTAGTTCGCCCATTCAATGGGTGAACTTATGCATGGCAACGTCTTCTTCACATGTTCGCCCAACAGAAGGACGAACTTCCTCTTTGCTTTTACTAGTTCGTCCAATCAATGGACGAACTCCTTCTAAACTAGGACAGGCTTGTAAATAAGTTTTCAGAAAGGGCATTGTGGGATTTTCTATTTCAAACAAGGGCAGTGTGGTGAAAAATCCTCAAAATGGATTCTTTTGTCCACAAATGAAATACTCTGATTGCAGACAATCCAAAATGTATTATCCATTTAAATATATAAATCTATTGATCGCCTCAAATTATATTATAAAATACATTGGACTTTTTCGTTTGAAGCAATATAATGTACTAAAAGTTATTTTCATATTGTTACAGAATTTTTATTCAACTTACTAGATAAATAACTAATGATAGTAACAAAATATTATTAAATAATTTAATCAAATTTCAATGATTTTTTTAAAAATTTTTGGATGCAAAATATATATGACTTAAGCGTTTATACTATAACCAAGAATCTTCACTCTTAACTACTAAACACTTAGTTTTATTAACACGTCATATAGATCAAGTTTATAGACATTTTCAATTCTAAAACCCTTAAACACAAGGTCTTCATTAGTCTTATGCTCCATTACACAACTAAAATTATCAAAAATAACGAAACACCTTTCACATAATTGGTTAATAGTTAGCAAGTTGTGTTTAAGCCATTTGACTAACAACATATTTTCAATGGTAATATGGAGGGATTTCCCACAATACATTCACCAAGAATTTTACCTTTCGTATTGTCTTCGTACGTGATGTGGTCACTTTCATTCTCATCGAACTTGATGAACATGGAAGCATTTTCCTTATGCCAAGATTGAGAAACTAGCATCCTATTTATAAAAAAAATAGCACACCAACCTAATGGGCTTTTTAACAATTACCCATTACAAGCTAACTTAAACACTTGAGCTTACAAGCAAGGCCCAATATAATATGCTAACAACCTAGAAATATATACCAATACATGTTAGAACAAACTTCAACTACAACACGCATTATCTTCGACAGTAGCATGCGAACAAACTTCGACCTCATGCTTAATTCCTGTCGAACCAAAAGCTACCCTTCAACCATACTAGAGTTCGATCCAATATCTCACAAATCTCCACCTTGGATCTAACTCTATAACATCAAGGAACTAGCTTTCTTCATACAACTTTATCAACTACATACAATGGAAAAAATTGCAACTGGGCAACGTCTTGGTGATCATATCAACAACATTATGATATGTCGAAACCTTCAGCACTTGGACTTCTCCACGCTCGATTACCCCTCTGACGAAATGCAAACTCACATCAATGTGCTTGGTTCGTTCATGATAGGCTGAATTCTTCGACTGGTGTATTGCACTTTGACTATCGCATTTAACAGTGATAACTCGACCTTGAAGTTTTAACTCCTTTGCAAAACCTTTAAGCCACAATGCTTCCTTCACAGCTTCCGTTAGGGCAATACATTCTGCTTCAGTGGTTGATAAGGCAACGACTTTCTGAAGTGTAGTTTTCCAATTGATTGTTGTCCCAAACATAGTGAACACATATCCAGAAATAGATTTTCTGGAATCCATACAACCTGCATAATCAGAGTCGATATATCCTTCGATTGCTGCTTTATTATCTTCACCCAAGGCTCCACCATAAATTAGGACTCTATTCATAGATCCATCTATGTACCTTAAAATCCATTTCAATGCTCGCCAATGAGCCTTTCCAGGATTCGCCATGTACCTGCTTATAAAACTTACTGCATATGTTATGTCAGGTATAGTACAAACCATAACATACATCAAAGAACCTAATATGTTAGCATATGGAATGATATTCATATAAGTTCTTTCAACATCAGTGCTGGGAGACTGATCTATACTTAGCTTGTATTGAGGGTTTGTTGGAGTCGCAAAAGGTTTGAATTCGACGTACCAAACTTTTCGAGAACCTTTCGTAGGTATGCCTCTTGAGATAAGCATAATTTCGACTGCTTTCTATCTCTTCGGATGTCAATCCCAAGAATCCTGGACGCAGCTCTCAGATCCTTCATGTCGAACTCCTTATTGATTTCAGCCTTCACCCTCATTACCTCTTCGACATTGTTGCTTGCTATTAGAATATCATTCATATAGAGTAACTAAATAACAAATGAATTACCCGGTCAAAATTTGAAGTAAACACAGTGGTCGAACTGACTTCTGATGAAACTTATGCGTGTCATGAACTTGTCGAATATCCTATTCCACTGTCGAGGAGATTGTTTTAGTCCATATAAGGATCTATTCAGCTTGCACACATAATCTTCCTTCCCTTTTTTGACACACCCTTCAGGTTGCCTTATCAGGATTGTTTCATCTAAGTCACCATACAAGAACGCAGTCTTCACATCCATCTGTTCCAGTTCAAAGTCGAACTGTGCCACTGTGGCAAGCAACATTCGAATGGATATGTGCTTCACAACAAGAGAGAACACATCATTGAATTCGATACCTTTTTTTTGAGTGAACCCCCTGGAAACCAATCTTACCTTGTATCTCTTTGACGCCACTCCTTCGATTCCTTCCTTAACTTTGAAAATCCATTTACAACCGACTAACCTGGCTCCAGCAGGTTTCTTGATCAGCTCCCAAGTGTTGTTATCATGAAGAGATTTCATCTCATCATCCATGGCCTTCAGCCATTCAGTCTTCTTTCGACTCCTCATAACTTCCTTATAGTCTTTAGGTTTTTCATCTAGAACCTCAATTGCAGAAATTAAGGCATAAGTTATAAGATCTGCATACCTAAGTCTCTGAGGTGGCTTGATGACTCTCCTCGACCTGTCTCTTGGTAACAGGTAGTCATTATCAGTCTCCTCATCTTCGACAACATCTTTTGCGTCTTCTTCAAATCTCTCCCTGTTCCAGCTCTTCGTAAGCATTATCAGTTTTCTTGAAAGCCATCTCTTCTTCATTGAAAACTACATCTCGACTGGTGATACACCTCCTATGAACTGGCTCTAGGAACCATAACCTATAAGCTTTGACTCCTTCAGGGTATCCCATGAACATGCATTTCAGAGCTCTAGGTTCGACCTTGTCTTTCCTAATATGAGCATAGGCTACACAGCCAAATACTTCCAGTCTGTCGAGACTAGGTGGATGTCCCGACCAAACTTCTTCACGTGTCTTCATTCCAAGGCAGTCGAGGGACATCTATTTATCAGGTAAGTTGCTGTCGAAATAGCTTTTACCCAAAACACCTTCTTCAATCTAGCACTAACCAAGATGCATATAACCCTTTCAAGGATTGTTCGATTGAATCTCTCAGCTAAGCCATTTTGCTGAGGAGTACCTACTACAGTCTTATGCCTTGAAATCCCAGACTCAACACAGTAACTGTCAAACGCTTCGTTGTAGAATTCAAGGCCATTGTCGGTTCTCAACACAGTAACCTTCCAACTTTTAAAATTCTCAAAAGTTTCATCCTTCGTCTTCTGAATGAATACCCATAGCTTTCTGGAATAGTCATCAACTATGGATAGAAAATACCTTGCACCTGAGTGTGAAGGATTCCTTGCAGGCCCCCAAAGACCAGTATGAATGTAATCCAGGGATCCATGTGTTCTTTGCTTTCCTTTGTTAAACTTCGCCCTACATGATTTACAAAATACACAAGATTCACAAAGCTCCAACTTTTCGAATTTGTCACCTCCTAGCAGGTTCTGCTTCCCCAATTCAATCGGGCCTCTTTCGCTGACATGGCCCAATCTCATATGCCATAATGCTGTCTTCGACACAGATTTCATGGATGCAACATTTGTCGAACCACTTACAACCTCAACCTCAAGGGTATACAAGCCTTGTTTCTTCACGCCTCTCAAGACTTTCTTCAACCCATTCATGACTCTTAGGATACTTTTCTCTCCTTGAAAAACATATCCCTTTCTGTCGAATTCACCAAGAGAAATCAAATTTCTCTTCAAGTCAGGTACATACCTGACTTCAGTTAATAACCTTATTGACTCATCATGGAGCTTGAATCTCACATATCTAATACCTGCAATTTTGCAAGATTTGTTGTTTACCAGCAGCACAGATCCACCATCTTGATCACATAGCTCCTCGAATAATTCTATGTTTGTAGTCATGTGCCATGTGCAACCTGAATCCATAATCCACTCTTTTCTCGAGTTACCACTTGAAACCACAAGAACATCAGATGAATCAAAGTCATCTTGAACAATGGTTGCGTTGCCATTACCTCCATGATCTTTCAGGCGTTCAGGGCACACCTTTCTTGTGTGACTCTCCTTCTTACAATGATAACATCGAATACTAGATGTTTCGCCACTGTAAGACTTCTATTGACTTTTACCTTTCTTCTTGTCGAACTTACCATCCTTTCGCAAGAATTTTCCCTTAAAGGCCAAACCTTCGCTCACCATCGAAGGTTTATGCTCCTTTCGTTTATTCAAGTCCTTAGAATACAAGACTGATTGAACTTCTTTTGATTTTTTGTATCGCCTACTTTAATAGCGCTTTTGAAATAAGCGCTATTAAAAAAGAAACAAACATATTTATAATAGCGCTTTATAGTAAAGCGCTATTAAAGAGTACAGAGAATATGATTTTAATAGCACTTTGTAAAAAAGCGCTATTATAGATATTCACTAAGATAACGCTTTTCTAAAAAGCGCTATTAAAATGTTGTATTACAATAGCACTTTTATAAAAGCGCTATTATTAAAAGCACTACGATAGCGCTTTTTAAAAATCGCTATTAAAATATGTAACTACAATAGCGCTTTCTATGGAACCGCTATCGTTTCTATAATTGTGTTTTAAGATAGCGCTTTTTTAAAAAGCGCTATCGTAGTATTTCACTAAATTAAATTAATTAAAATATGAAAACCTTCACAGAAGCTCTAACACCAAATGAAACGCATAGCGGCGAACGTGAATTAGGTGAGAAGAAGATAATCTTGAAAAATTATGGGATAGTTATTGAGTGGTTTTGGGTGGGAGAAACCAAGACTCTCGAATTTCTTGGGTAGGAATTGCTTTATATCTTCTAGGTATACCCAATTCTCCCAATTTGGGGGGAAAACTCAAGATTCATAAATTGAATTTCAAATTCAATTCAATTTTAGGTTAACTAGTTTGTGTTTAAGCATTTTTCTCATATCTTCAACAGGTTAAATATGTCAAGATGTGTGAAGAGATTGGGAAAATGTATTTCTCTGGTTTCAAAAAGGGGTTTTTCTACTACATCAAGCATTCAGAAAGATGCTGTTGAGAATGGTGGCAAATCATTGAACCTTTATACTGCCATTAATCAAGCTCTTCATATTGCACTGGATACTGATCCTCGGTGAGTCTCATTCATTCATTCTTTTTCTTTGTATGTTACATAGTTCTTTCGGTTGCATTATATGTTGTTTCCATTATCTTCAAATTTTGCTATGTGAAACAATAAATTTATATGCGGATTATTGGTTTCATGTTTGCCAATAATTCTACTCCTGCATTTCGTCGCAGTGCTTATGTTTTCGGGGAAGATGTAGGCTTTGGCGGGGTGTTTCGTTGCACCACTGGATTAGCAGATCAATTCGGTAAAAATAGGGTTTTCAATACTCCTCTATGTGAGCAGGTATTTGATTAAGCATTTCATGTTTCCTTTGTCAAAAGAAAAATAAATGTCAAGAATATTTTCTAGAACACGGTTTGATATTTTGAAATGCTTTCCACAGGGCATTGTTGGCTTTGGCATTGGTCTAGCAGCTATGGTGAGTCTAACATGTTAAAATAATTTACTTCTTGTTCTAACATCAAACCTTACTACAATCATATATAATCAAAATTTCTTTTATATATCTGCATTTAAGCTTCTTATATGTTTTTGCATATCAGGGAAATCGAGCCATAGCAGAAATCCAGTTTGCAGATTATATATTTCCTGCTTTTGATCAGGCATGCTCTTTTGCTTTGTAAGGCTTTGGTTAGTCTTAGTTGATGCGCCTTTTGATCAGTAATTGACTAATTTTTCGTGTCTAGATTGTCAATGAAGCTGCTAAATTCAGATATCAGAGTGGAAACCAATTTAATTGTGGCGGTAAAATTATTTTGTTACTATAGCTTTGAAGTTTTCGATTTTTATAGTTGTTGTTTCAACACCTTTTTCACATTCTTATAGGTTTAACAATTAGAACCCCCTATGGAGTTGTTGGCCATGGTGGACATTACCACTCTCAATCTCCAGAGGCTTTCTTCTGTCACGTGCCTGGTATCAAAGTATGGTGCTTCCAATATGGATCTCAATCTATTATTTAGAACCTGATAAATATTTTAGTACTTTTGTCTGCTGTTTCTCTTTTTCGAATGATTAAGCCACTTACCGTGTCGTGTTTGAAACCTCTATAGACTATAGAAAAGTTTAAATTTCTAAGGTAGTGGCTCAAGAGTTGAATGCATGTGCATAATAGCTCAATCATCAAATTATGAAGATCATGGTCCTGATTGAATAAATATCTTAATTAAGCATTTATGTACAACATAGCTTATGAAAATAAGTTGAAAACAATTTATGGGTATCTCATAGTCTGTTTCCATAACCTCTCTCAAACAGTTCCGCAAGCGCTTATGCTAGTATATAAACTAAGATAAGTCAGTCCAAACAAGGCTCAAGAGTATATAAGAGGCTTGTGAATAGGAAGTTGCTAGAGTTTGAAGGATTTGACGTGATATTTTAATAATCATAGATTCAAATCATAACATATTTAACATTATATAATATAGACAATAGAATCAATATAGACAGTAGATCAAGAATATGTACCTTTAGGATCAATGAGAATCAAGAGATAGTGATCGATGAAGAATTAGGATCTGTAGAGAACAGGGAAGAGAGAAACTACATTTAGAAATTTGCCTTGTATATCATGTTGATTTTTCTTATCTTTGTAATTGATTCATTTTTTCACAAATACCTCAAGGGTGTTTTTTGTATAGGTGGTCATCCCTCGTAGTCCAAAGGAAGCGAAAGGGTTATTGTTATCTTGCATACGTGATCCGAATCCTGTTGTATTTTTTGAACCAAAGGTTATATATCCTTATTCTACTAGAACAACCTTAATGAATTGTATGCACAAAACTAGAGTATGTGACATTTGCAGTTTCAATTAAGCTATTTGTTGTTTCAGTGGCTTTATCGTTTGGCTGTTGAAGAAGTACCGGAAGATGATTATATGTTGCCATTGTCTGAAGCTGAGGTACACAAAAAGTCCCAATAAAGAAGATAAAAAAGTTCTGTATAACATTATTGATTCATTATTGTGACAAATTTTTACTCTAGGTGATTCGACAAGGAAGCGATATTACACTTGTTGGATGGGGAGCTCAATTATCTATAATGGAACAAGCTTGTATTGATGCAGAAAAGGTAAGTACTGCTGCTTTGAAAGAAAAAGTGTTAGGACATGTAATCTGGGGTGCAACCGTCTACGAAGTAGACAACACTGTGCAACAGCTGTGGGAGTTCGACAGTTCGCCGACTTCTAATTTTATTATCCAGGGTCGTGGGGTGCGCTACGGAACTTCCGCTACGGGGCTTTCAATAGGTTACACAGAGGTGATACTTTTTTCTATATATATTCTCTTTGGAAGGTCAAATCTTCTCGGATGTAATTTTTTGGTGTTGTAATTTTATTTAAAAGTTATATAAAAATGTATTTTTTTAAAATATTTATACAAATGTCTAAATAACAAAATGGCGTTATATATGTGTAAAATCAACTTGAATTATTAACGCATACATATTGTACTGATTACATTGCATTAAAAATAGATACTATGTGTGGTATTATTTTACAAACATAACCATACAATTCTTACACAGTATCAGTAGTTTTATTTTACAAAATGGCGTTATTGTAGTATCAGTAGTTTTATTGTCCAGCCATATATATATATATATATATATATATATATATATATATATATATATATATATATATATATATATATATATATATATATATATATATATATATATATATATATATATATATATATATATATATATATATATATATATATATATATATATATATATATATATATATATATATATATATATATATATATATATATATATATATCCCATAAAACACCATCTTATAATAGCGCTTTGTTAGAAAGTGCTATCAAACTTAAATCAATTTACCGATATTTTAATAGCGCTTTGTTTGAAAGTGCTATCGAATATGTGAATTATAATAGCGCTTTCTTTGAAGTGCTATTAAATATTTGTCTTATAATAGCGCTTTATTTGAAAGCGCTATTAAATATGTGTATTATAATAGCGCTTTGTTTGAAAGTGCTATCAAAATTAAAGCAAATTAACGGTGCTATAATAGCGCTTTATTTGAAAGCGCTATCAAATATGTGACTTATAATAACGCTTTTTCAAAAGCGCTATTAAATACAGGTACTATAATAGCGCTTAGTCAAAAGCGCTATTATAGTACCTGTATTTAATAGCGCTTTTAAAGCGCTATTAAAAATTTTGTTTTACAATAGCGCCTTGATTAATAGCGCTTTAAAGCGCTATTAAAAAGCAAAAAAAGCGCTATTAAAAAACTTTTTTGTAGTAGTGGATCCCTTCCATACAAGAGAGTTTCTTTGAAGTGAGCATGTGTTATGGGCAAAGCACACAGCAGCAACATTGCTTGATCTTCATCATCGATCTTCACATTAATATTTTCAAGATCAAGAATCAGCTTATTGAACATATCTAAATGCTCAGCCAACACTTTGTCTTCACTCATCTTGAATGAATATAAAGCTTGCTTCAGGTAGAGTCGATTCACCAGAGATTTGGTCATGTACAAACTTTCAAGTTTCACCCATAATCCTGGTGTTGTAGTCTCCTTTGATATCTGTCGAAGAACTTTATCAGTAAGGCTCAATAATATTGCACTGTGGGCTTTCTCGATCATGCCTGTCTTTTCTTTTTCGTTGACGCAGCGTCCATGGCTGCCTCACCCTTCAACGCTTCCAAACAACCCTGCTGAACCAGTAGGGTTTTCATCTTCAAGCGCCATAGACCAAAGTCATTCACTTCGGTGAACTTTTCAATCTCATACTTTGTTGAAGGCATCTTCTCCACGCTCACCCCACCAATTTTTTGTGAATTGGATACCTTTAATAAAGTATAAACCGGTTTCTTAATGATCAAGAAACACACAAGGGTTAGGGTTAACAAAGAAAACAAGGTAAAACAACAAGGAACAACAAGGATTGGTTATAAATTTCTATTCTTTCCTTTCTCTTAGAAACAATATTACAAGTATACAAGAATAACAAAATAACCTCTCTCTCTTGAAATTAGGATTTTATCTTCCTACTTTTCCTTATGCCAAGATTGAAAAACTAGCATTCTATTTATAAGAAAAAATAGCACACTAACCTAATGAGATTTTAACAATTATCCATTACAAGTTAACTTAAACACTTGAGCTTATAAGCAAGGCCCAATATAATATGCTAACAACCTAGAAATATTGACTAATGCATGTTATAACAAACTTCAACTACAACACACATTATCTTCGACAACAGCATGCGAACAGACTTCGACCTCATGCTTAATTCCTGTCGTACCAGAAGCTACCCTTCGACCATACTAGAGTTTGATCTAATATCTCACAGTGAAGTAGCATGTGTTGATTGTCTCTTAAGAGTTTAAATTTTAAGTTTTAAAATTGAACACTCAACACATTCTACAACTTCCATCTTTTCGACTAAAGTATCTCAAATATTACAACACTCATCCATTAGAGATGTATGTGCTCCCTGAAGAGATTTTAAAGCATGATTAAGATTATTTATCTCCTCTTCAAATTTTGATTTTTTTGGAGAGAAATTCTCTTATATGCTTTTATGGAATCAACATACATGTCATTGAATGCATTAGACAATTCACTATAAGTATACTCATTTTCAGAATCGAAATTATATATCTTTGAAGTTTCATTTTTCTTACGTGTCATCAAGAAAAAGTTGACACAATCATCATCTGAACTCGAGCAAGAACCCGATGAGGATATCTCACCCTCTATTTCTACATGATGTAGGCTCTACGACCTTTAGAAGATTTTCCCTTTGTCTTGTAGAAAACCTTGTCTTTACTTTTAAGAAGTTTGGTAAGATTTTGACATGTTGTTATATAGCGTCCCAATTTACCACATTCGTAACACATGATATAATCATCTTTTTTCTTGTGATCTTTATTGAGTGGATGAGTATTTCTAAAATTTACTAGACTTTTATCGGTGTGCATGCTTGAGCTTGTTTCTCTTAAGATATCTATTGTAGCGTCTTCTTTACCTTTCTTTTTCTTTTTCAAATTTACTTCTCTATTCGCAAGTCATTTAAGATCATTCTCATTCTCAATATTTTTCTAGTGAAATCTTTGTTGGAAAAGGTTTTACCCAAATCTTGCAGTTGGTTGATTAAATTGAGGAATCTAGTTTGCATGGAATCTACAGATTATCCAAGTTTCGTACAAAATAGTTCAAACTCCTCTGTAAACATATTGATTTTAGAATCTTTGACGTCCCCCACTCCTTCATAGAGAGTTTGGAGAGCATCCCATATACCTTTAACACTCATATGATGTGAAATCGAATAGAACACTCTGACACTAAGTGCAGAAATAAGTATGTTTCTTGCTTTCAAATCATATGAAGCCTTTTTGGTTTCATCATCATCCAAATCTTTTAGATGTTTAACAACGTTATTAGCTCCCTTGGGAATATATGGTCCCTCGCTGAAGATATACCACAACTTTTGGTCAATCGATAACAAGTATACATACATAATCGGTTTCCAATAATTATAATTTTCGCCTTTGAAAATAGGTGCTCTATCATACGCTCCCTTATGATTGTCATCTTCTGACATATTCACAAACTTTTGGATGTAGATTAGACACAATCAAAAGACAAGCTCTTGATTTTGATTGTTAGGTGTGAATATGGAAGTAGAAAATGGTCTAGAGGGAGGGGGGGGGGTGCTAAACAGACCCAATTTAAAATCAATCGCCATTTTCAAAATTAGGGTGTTTTCAAAAATAATTTGCGAGTGGAAGGTTTGTTGAGAAAATGAAAATTATATTATTTGAATTTTGATCAAGTTAACAACAATCGTTTCACAAATATCAAAGATGAATATGATGAAATAGTTGATATGAATTAATTCAATTGTGTAATGCACAAGACATGTTTACATAATGATTCAATAAATAGAGTTCTAATGTCAATTTGTTTCATAAAAACTTAATTACCAATATAGCTTAACAAGTTATCCAATTCCAACAAAGCCTAATGCTTACGTAATAAACATAGAGAGAGATAGAGAGAGAGAGAGAGAGAGATGACACTGAGATTTATAGTGCTTCGGCGTTCATCATCGCTTTGCCTATGCACTCTTAAATGGTTTCCCATTGGAACCTGCGTAGTTCTTTGTTATTTAACAAATATTTCCAAGAGGCCATACAATCACCAATCCATAATACAACTAAGAAAATAAATCTCTTATTTGGATCTTGAATTGTACACAACACACAACTAAAATTTTCTGCGTAATCTTAACTCGAATTATGTTTCTTGAATTTTCCAATATCACCAATTCTGCTACAAGAATTCGTGTGTAGATATCAACCCCTTGATCCTGCCGATTCCTTGAGCGGTGTATTGTCTAAAGATTTGAGCAAAACTCTGCCTTATCCGTAGCCTCCCACACAGTCATTACTAAGCCAATTATGGAGAGAATAATCTACTTCTTTTCAATTGAATTTGTCACCACCATTGACAATCACCTCAATCTTGCTAACTGTTACAATGAGATTTGGTTCTGCATCTATACTTTTGAGTTTTGATGATAACAACATAGTATTTGTGTGAGAATAATTTTGGTAATCTAACAATTTGTTATTCTGTAGCTTTAACAGTCAACTCTAATTCTGAGTTTATGACGTGCCACATCATCAGTTTTTGAACATTTGCTCTAGAACGTTTTCTTCTGCATTGATTCACTCCTGAAAAGTTCTGGAAAGACACTATGTTATTGCTGAAATGTTCTCTCCACTTCCACTTCTGGATGTGACTCTAATCATCAAGCTTCTGAAGAATGACAAGCTTCTGAAGTTTTGTTACTTAGATGAAGACTCTAAATATTTCAAGCCAGACATTGACGGTGTCAAGGTTCTGATTGAAGATTCTAATTTGAACTGTGTTTCTTCTTTTCATGCTTCATCAATTTTCTATTAGAAAGCCAATGAATTTGAAGATAAGTTAAGTGGATACATGATTAAATAGTACATGGCACAAATTAAAATATTCCTTTTACTACGTGAAAACATGGGCGAAGAACAATACTATTCATCACACCTGTCACTAATCCGTTAGTAGACAACTGCTCTTTTGGTATCCCCGATTTTCCTTCCAACGGTCCCTTTCTTATGCTATATAAGTAGGACTTTGAGACTTTAAGAAAGTTGCAACATTTTACGAGACTGTTTCTATGTGAAAAGCTGCCAACTTTATGCATACTATTCTTTGAGTTATTGTATTTCATTTGTGTAAAAACCTGCTTGTGTAGAAGCAACTTGTAATACAAAATCTGTATTCAACCTTGTTT